CTCAGGTTCAATAAATTTCCTTTTGAGATGTTAACCCCCCATGTTCATGATAACTACTCAGAGAGTGAATATCAGGTAATTTTAACTTCACTAAACAGAAATCATAAAGGTCAACAAATAAATACGATATATCTAAAAACTTGTACGAATTTTACGTAGGAAAATCACAAGTCATTTTCATAAGCATAAATTAAAGTATACATCTAGCTGGAGCATCTCTAAGAAGATAGAAACTTCTCCGGTTTCTGTTCATGTTTTCCTTTTCTCCTTCTCTTTTCAGCTTAAGTTTGAAACGAAAATCTTGAGTATAATTTTGACCAAAATTGTCAACCTACTGAATATACTATTTCATATTTGATACCAGAAATTATTGAAAGAATCCTTCAAATGATCTTTCCCTATTGATTTTCAACTTTCTGAAATATTCCACAGCAAACTTGTCCAGTTACCAACAGCCTAGATGTAACCATGTATAAAAACCCAACTAGAATAAATGATCTAAGGCTTCTTGACGGTCATAATAGCAGCGAAAATCTGGACAAACAACTAAGTCTAAGAAATAAACTCACATAGTAGCTCAGAGTGAGATATGTTCACAAACAAACTTCTCCAGTGCTTCACCTCATTTGACTCTGTTTTATAGGAGACAACAGTTAGCATACCTCCTTGATGATACTGCATACTTCAGTGTGAGTTGTATATGCAAAACTCCATCACCAATGGATAATAGTCCTTCAAGTGTTTATTTCTTTGTACAGGAACAACTAATTCTGATGGAGTAAGGTCACACTACCAATAGGAAGTGCGAGGACTTATATACTCATGTGGATTATATGGTTATGCTAACACTTACTGTTACCTGAAATCGATGAAATGAGTTTTCGTTGGTCAACGATACTACAAACATGTTAACTGATATCAAAATAAACGTTTATCTGAAAGAAAACGGGACTATACAGCCAGGTTAACCATCTAGATCACATATAACGCAAACATCGAGTATTGTACGATTTCGGTATCACTTTATTGTGTAAAGTGAATGGTGAGTGGAGACAACCGAAACTCATAAACAATCTATATGTGTTGTAATGTGACACCATCTGTATCATTCAGGACAGCTCAACTACTGGAGATTTCTTTACCATTATCAATTTGATGATACCTGTAAACTGGCTTCTGTCATGTTAAACTCTAAAATTTGAGAACAAAATATTTATTTATTTATTTATTTGCAACACTTTCACTCTTCGATGAAGATCCAGAATGCACACAAGAAATTATTATCCTCTCCTTTCTTCTATTGATAATTTTTTTCCTTTTAAGCATGGTCACTGTCAACCATATGAAGAACCTCTTGAAGTGTTTACTAAGTTGAGAGAAACTGTCAAAGTGATGAGACATACTTAAGTCGTAGTTTAAAAAAGAGTTGGACTCTCAACTCAAGTGTTACCTATTATTATTATTAGTTCCTTGGGTTCCTAATGGAACATAGGGCTTCAGTAGCACGTCTCCAATTCACTCTCTTCTCTGAAGTCTCTCCAACCTGGTTCCACGACAGCCCACAAGCTCTCATTTCCTCCTCCTACGATCTCCTCCGTGTCACCCTCGGACGTCCAACTCGTCGCTTCCCATCGGGTTCCACTCGAGGGCCTGACACGTGATGTCTCCAGTCGGCCTTCTCAGGGTATGCCCAATCCATCTCCACTTCCTCCTGCATATTTGTTGCGTGATAGGTTCTTGGTTTGTTCGTTCCCAGAGTTCCTTGTTGCCTATTCTTTCTGGCAATCCATCTGATCTTCAGTAGCGAGCCAGCGTAAGCAGTTGTTGATGAATGTCTGTAATCTAAAATTTTTCACATAGTCATGAAAGAATAAGGAGTTTAGTGAGAAAGAATTTTTTCAGCAATATCATCCTCAGTAACTGTATAACCGCATTTAAATATAGTTAGTGTACATAAAAATGATGATAATAATATAGGAATGAAAATTACATAAGAAATACGAAAATATTTGACAGTATGAAACAATATTAGTTGGAAGTAAGGCATTTTAAAATAGAATGAGTAGACAGTTGTAAGTGAGGAAGAGAGTGGGAAATTTCTAGCTGAGTCATATGATTTAAGATTAAGAATTTAAAAATATAAGAATGAAGAAGTGAGTAGGGACAGGGAATAAGGAAGCCATTTCTTGATACACATTTTCGGTTTCGATTAGTTTTTTGTGAGATTTTCAACAATGCAAAGTAAACATATCCTTACATCCTTCTGAAGATTACTATGTACTTTGTAGACAAGTGTGAACGAATTCTCTGGAACTACGTCAGGTGTCAATCAAATGTAATACTCACTTGTTAGGTGATTTGTGTTTATCTTTGCTGAAACATGCTGAGAGATATTGGGGCCCACACAGAATAATCTACCTCTGCTTACGTCAGGTGAATTTATGTACTCGCATCGAAGTGGCTAGCAGGGACAGTTTGTCCTTCGTACACGTTTTCGCCATTGAATGACTTGAAGGGTGACTGCATAGAATTTTTTGACGATCTTCATTATTCAATGATGTACAACGTCATCTGCTGAATTTCAATTGAATTCCAATTTCATAATCAGCTTCTTCTTCTTTACAGTGACAGGTGACTGACTGATGAGTAGTATCACCAGGCAGCTTTTTATCTACTAACCTGTTTTGATTACCATTTCTCACGAAGGTCAATGTCAATATCGTTTTGAGTGCATATCCTGCAAGATTAGAGAGGAAAATGATGTGATTAAATTGAATTTCCTGCTAATGCATATTCAACCATGAAAAGTTTTCACTTATCCATTTCAGGTAGATTTCCAGTAAGTAGGTCTTTTATTTATCCGGTCATCTCTTCCGGTTAACAGTATGTCAAGCAATGTTATCCTTTATTATGATCCCATTTCAATTGAAAAGTTGATCGAGGAGTAACATGTTCATTGAAAAACTGCAGTGCTTTTGCAAGTCAAAATCCTTATCACAAACAATGAATATATCATCAAAATATCATCTGTTGAATTTAAATTACCTGATAACTGGGTTGAGTTTGGGCGTTTCCAGACTGAGCACAAATATATTTGCCAACAATGGACCCAGATATGACTACATTGTTAACCCATCTCTCTGGCGATAGAAGGCTTATACATGGTACCTTGCCAACAAGATAGGTTAATACTGATTAACTTACAGAATGAAAAATATCTTCGTCAGAATTTCTCAAGGAGTAAGGCACGTTTGCTTCAACTAAAAAAGAATATATTGCAGATTATTACTTTCAGTTTTATATGTTCAAACAATCACTTGTGACTTACAAAATGGTTTATAAAGTTAAGAACTGTTTCCAGTGCATATGTGACAATATTCAGGTTTTTAAATACTTCGAGACGGATGAAACCTTTCATTTTCATCAGGAAATAATCGCACATAGTTTAAGAACATGTATCGCTAAAACTTCTAACTCACTGTGACTTGTGTCATACTACAATTGCATGTATGTTACCAGGTAAAAATCAGAGGTATGCTGTCCAACCTTTAATTGTCTTGGAAGTCGTCACGATAGATTTAGTGTATCATAGTGTTGAACCAAGCACCTACAAGTTAAGAAAAGATAAAATAACGTCGGTTCTTAACGTTTGCTTGATTATGATGTTGATTTTGTCCCTATGAGGTATCACTTTAACCATTTACACTAGTAAGCTGCACTTTCATTCATAAGTTGGGCGCATGCTATCACTAGAATTAAGTGACATCCGTCATGCCACAGGCAGTCCGACTATTTGAAATAAGCTATGCAACCAGTTATCTCCATTTCTGAAGTCAGACTGGTGGTAAAAGAATCAAAATTCCTTAACTATGTTTCTAATGTGTGCGATGACACAAGGCACTTTCTTGTTCACCTGGAACTCATGAGAGACCTCATCCTTTGACAGTGTTTATGCATGACAAATATTCATTTTCAAAAGTCCAAGTCCGTACCAGGGAGCTTAAGATTGACAGTTATTTTTGAAACACTGAATTCTAAATATTTTATTCCTTTAATGTACTTAGTAATAGACTGGGGTGGAAAACCATTACTGAATATCCTTTATAACTGGGATTGTCATTAAAACTTAAACAAACGAAGGTGCTTCAAATATGGAAAATCTCAAATTCACCCCATCAAACCCTTCTGTAGTATTGGCAAGCTGGAACAGAAGTTTTGGAATGTTTTAAATACCTAATCTACAAAGCTATGCAACCTCGGAAAAAGAATCCTCATCCGTCTAAAAGGATCAACTTCATACTTAGTGATGGTTTGATCGACACACTTTAAAGTACTATTAACTTCTATAAAAAGAAATAAGATTCTCAAACACTGAAGCATTTCTAACTTCTCTTAAATGAACATTACTACTATCAATCTCTTCAGTAAGCAATACACCACCAACATTTAGCGATCCCCATAAAATATGATTTTAATATATACTATTTAGAATAATTTCAGTAGCTTCAATGGTTTATTCAAACTTTAAGGTTGCGAAGTATGACTACCTTTAACTTTTGTACCTGTTGAAATATGTGAAATGTTGTCACATTATACATACACTTGAACTTATTATTATAGAATCAGAGTCCTAAGATGTCACTTTTCATTGGCGTGGACGTTGAAGAATTTGAGTCCTACAAACAGTCAAAAGTCTAGGCGTTTGGCTAGTGGTTCGTTCTATTCTATAAATTACAATTCATTAAAAGTTATACGAAATTAACAAATTTGGATTTCGTGTACTTTGGTCATAACTTTTCCTTAGCAAATGCTTAACATTCAATTGCAGACATTATTCAAGTGCAGAGAGGTGTTATTTGATTTGCTCAAATGTAGTTTTTTCCCCTATTGATTCGAACTTGAGTAGAAAGCATTTTCTGAAGGGTGGTCATTATGTAGATGTTGAAATAAAAGGTGATAACCTCTACCATAGGTAACTGACCACCTTATTTTCCAACGTCTCAATAATTTTTTAGGATTGGTTGTTTTCGATATATTCTCTCTTTCTGTAGTACTGATGGGGATTCCCTTCGAGATGTTACTGATAAGATAAATGAACAAATAAGTACTTTACCAATAATACCATAAGAACATTTTTCTTTTTGTATAGAACCGTTAAACTTAACATCACCTTCGAAAGAACTATTTTTTAATGCGTCACCTGTTGGCTTATGATTACTATGAGAGTTCAGTTCACTATCCATTTCATAAAACTTCATAACTGTCCCTTTAAGTGGTGAAATTGACCTTTTTAAGAGTATAGCACAGGAGGGATTTACATGCATGCATATTTAAAGACTATTAAAACTGCCTAGTGTCTCTAAGATACTTTAGAAGGCTCGATTCTTAGCAATGAGTTGCATTACTCATAGCGTTAAAAGTAAGTCAACTGATAATGTCTTAACTGGTATTTAAATTTAAAAACAACCACTAAGTCTAACGACTTAGCAAATAACGATGAGGTTTACAATACCCAGAATGGATTTGGTGTTCACTACTAACACATCTTACCATACCTGAAATGACTGCATCTCACTCCTGGTGATGGTGAATGATAGGAAGAAACTCAAATCCGGCACTCACCGCCTATAATTCCATATCTTCGGCATATTTTATAATTACGAATATTGACAAAACGTTTGTGCAAAAGAACCATACTGCAAATGTGACTGATCAGCTCATTCAGATAGTAGAAGCTTGCAGCCAATCACCTGAACCCGTAAGCATTATATAATTGGTATCTTCGATTCCATTGGTCAGTGCTCTGACAAATAAACTGAACGGTACTCAATTCAAGTCATGGGAAAGACACTAATATGGTTGAAAGCATGTTTGGTTAATTTGTTTCAAATGGAATGAGGCATGTATGAAATATTCTACCACTAGCTAATACGCTTTGTCACCCTTCACATGATATTTTTCTCCACACATAAATTTATTCCACTAAGCCGATCAATACGTAAATGATCGCAAAAAAATCAGTGAACAAATTTAAAGCTCAATCGTCTTTTCCACTTACATTCACTTTAAGAGTGTAAATAATGATTCCCATCTAAATGTGATAACGGTGATTGTTAAAAGTGATTGAGTACTTTAGAATTTCAGTCAATGGAATTAATATAAACAGAGAACTTAGTAAAATATTCATTTATAGGATATCGAGAATTCAAGAAGCAGTTGACAACCCTATGCATAAGGATGAAACTGGCTTTACTATGACAATGGATTTGCCAGGGACTGATGCCAATTCTAGAAATGACTTAGGTAGTTAAACCGATGCTGCTTAAGAAATACGCTCATTGATGACCGTGTATGATGATTGCAATCTGTTGCAAGTTTGTCTAACTCCTTCATTTTTGGTTTCTAGACTCACATGTGTTTTCCTAAATATCCAGTGGATATTTCCTAAATGGATAACAGGAAATAAAGATATGAAGTAGAACCGTGACAGACTACAACATCCATGCACAAAAAGTTCTGTGATAACTAAAATTATCAACTTAAGTGGGTAGAAGAAAAATGTTATACACCTCATTACAAGATCGCGTTCAGATGGTGACAACAAAGAAGACTTAGTCACTGTAACTGTGGAACTACATCATCGACTTAAAACGACAGTGTTATACACCTATTGATCGGTTTCCAGTATAACTTCACCATAGGCAACCTAAAGGAAGGAATGGACTTTAACTGATCATTGTTACGTGTCTCATTACCGCAAGTAAACCAGGAAATATTGGTGACAAATGGTCTAACAATGAAATAGTGGTGAACTATAAATTCTTTGAAAAAAAGAAGTTTGACTCCCTTGTTATTTAGCAATAGAACTATTCATACAGACATGAGAAAAAACAAACAGAGTTATGAGAACAATATAAAGGGAGGCCATCGATGGGCACTGCTGACAAGTTTAACAAAGAAACGAAGCAGTTCCCTAGTGCTGTCAAGCCTTCAGGGGCTCTGCAAGTGATGTCACTTTGTGATGAATACTATGTTTATCATCTTGACTATCTGAGATAACCATAGTTCGGTAGATTTCCATTGATACTGGGCGGTGATTGAAGGTGAAATGAAAATTCGGATTACGGTGCTATCACTAGGCTTCTGGCCAGGTGTTCTACCAACTGAACTGTTAGGCCGGAAACCCGGGGGCCACTGGTTAAAATACCACCGCTCTCCAAATTATCACTTCACCTTCAATCACCATCCATTATGAATACAATGTTGGAATCAGTCAATTTCCATAAACCAACAAATTTTACCTGAATTTCCATTGTGATTAACTGTCTACCAATGGAGAATCAACGGACAACAGTTCTTGACGAGTATCACCAGGGGGTAAAGTAAGATATTTTTCACTTGTAGACGTTTCATGCTTATTTTTGCCTGCATTTTACCGAACAAAATTTCAACTCACTTAAAGTATTTCTTGAGGTTGATGGCTAATCCAGTCAGCTTAAAACTAACATAGTTGTAAGTTTCTCCGATCTAAACTTCAGCTCTTCCTCATAATTTTATCTGACTTCAGTAAAACTTCTGATGAAAATTTAGGACGCACTAGTTCAGTCGAATATTGCGTTTTCAAGTTTTGGATTTATCAGGCTATGTAGAGTCAGTACTGCTATATGCTTCAGAAACTTGATGTGTCACGAAAAGCATTTCCAAAAAAATACACACATTCATCAACAGCTGTCTACATTGGCTCGATACTGAAGATCAGATCAGATAGACAGAAAAAATAACCAACAAAGAACTCTGGGAACGAACCGACCACGAACCGATCGCCCAACAAATATGCAGAAGGAAGTGGAGATGGATTGGATTGGGTATACACTGAGAAGACCATTCGGCAACATTATGTGTCAGGCCAGGTCCTCGAGTGGACTCGAAAGGGAAACGACGAGTTGGGAGTCCCAGCTGACGAAGACCATGTGAAGAAGAAATGGAAGCTTGTGGGCAGTCGTCGCGCCAGGTTGGAAAGACTGCAGAGAAGAGAGTTCAATGGAGGCCCCATGTCCCACTAGGAACTCAAGGGAAAAATACTAATAAGTAAAATTGTCGAGACATGGATAGCGTAAGTGAGTAATCAGTTATGAGTAATCATAATAATAAAAATATGATTATTTAATGATCGGCTTTATTTAACTTTACAGTAGATGAGAATAAGGAGAATGAATCACGAGGAAGTACGATGACCAGTCCAAAGGTAAGAGATGAAAGCTGGTAAAACTGTGAACATTAAATTTCAATTAACCTGTAAGGTTTCATTAGTGTTAATATCAAGTAGATGCTAGTTTGTGGCCACAGTTTTCCTAGATAGAAATAAAACGTTAGTTTTAATCTACTTACTTCTGGATAACTAACAAGACAGTATCAAGCAATGAAATTAATATTTCAAGTTACTGACCACTGATATGGAAGATTTTCACCTCAAATTTCTTATTTTTACTCAATATTAGTCAAAATACTTGAGAGTTTAATGTTTCATAATAACAAACAACTGAAATTGGCCATTAGATTACCTACCGGGTTTCTATGCATATATCTACATATATATACCTATGACGTTATTTCCAAAGTGGTGAGCCAAATGTGTTCAACTTTAGATTATCACAATACCCCTATTTGTGGAACAGTCGAGATGTTTGCGAAATTTAGAGTTGGGAGTTCGTATTGCTGAGAAGTTCCATACACGACTGTCAATTGTTTCTAGCTTTTTAATGGTTCTCCAAATGATGTCAATCCATGATGAGTACTTCCATGAAAATTTACAGTCTTATTACTGTGGTAACTATGGTAACTTAGTGAATGTAGGAATGTGGACTAACAAGCACTATGAATTATGAAACGCTTTCGATTGATGTCTTTGCATTCAAAGATAAACGTAAGAATTACTCGTAGATTGGAGTATATGTTCTGCTAGTCCAGCTGGTTCACAGTTAAGTTGTGTGAATGTATTTTGCTATAGCCCATATTAACGAAGTTGACGTAATGAATATACATTCAGCAACAGATTTATGAGCGGTAAAAAGGATAAAAGCAGGATCACTGAGTGAAGAAATATATTTCTCTCCAGTTAGGTCTTCATATTTGACACCACATTAATATATAGACTTACAGTTTAGACAAAATGCCAAGTGGTGGAGGGTTGATAAACGACAACTACAGGTTTTAAGTAGTTATGAAGATGATAGGTTTGAGAAATCAAGACACGCATAATCAACCGTGTAACTATACATGATTAAAAATAGTAATTATAATAATGTGAAACAGGTTATTCTAAGGTAAGTGGCGTAATTATAACCGGTAGAGTAAATGGAGTACTTTTTGTTGAGTGGTCAGTAAATAATAATGCAAGAATAAGAGAGCAACTGAATATTGATAATGAAAGAGGAGGAAGAGAAGTACAAAGTAATACTAGAGTTACGTCGTGTTGGTTTTTTCAGTAATAAAGTGGTTGGACAAATTCTTTACGCAACAAAAGTTAGGTTCATAAAGGTGAATTGCAATCGTTTGTGCCAAGTGAAGTAAGTGAATGCGTAATCCATGTGATAAGTTATTCGGTTTACAATGAATAATTTCAAATGCTTTCCTAGTATCCACTAGATATCTACTGTTAGCTAAGTTTACAAGTATGGAGCTCTTTATTGTTTTAATCTTTCCCTTATTCAACCAAGATGGGTGGAGTTCAGAAATTCGACGATGGAGCTGATTCATTATACGTCCAATATATCTAACACAGGAAAGGCTGAACTGAACATCAAAATGGCTGGATTGAACAGTCTGTCTTCAGTTCTTGCAAGTAGAATCGGACGGTTGTATCTTGATTCCTGAGGCTAATCATCTTCATGACTTACCTAAAATCTATAGTTATTGTTTATCAACCCCACGGTTTGTACTTTGACCGAATTGTAAGCTTGTATATTAGTATAAAGCTCAAGATGATGAATTAATTTAAAAGGAATATATTCCTGTGCTCAACCAGCTTTATTAGGAATGTCTTAATGGGAACTTACAATGAACAAAAATAGAAATCTAGAATTCAAAAAATATGGGAAGATTGTAAATCAGTAAACATTGTTATTAAATGAGGATATACGTTGATTCTTAGTAGATAAGCTTAGTATCTAGTTTATGAGTACATTTTGATTAAAGAAGCATAAAACCCTATTTAAATAGTACCAATAGTATTTGTCAACCTTTCCTGGTTAACTAGTTCACTAGTTACTAGCTAGTCAACAAGACGACAACCACGAGCACACTGAGTATGGAGTAGCTATCATGA